TTTTTTTTTTTGTTCTGATGATTTTTCTTGTTTCTCTTTTTAGTTTGCACTTCCATCAGGAGACATGAAATTTCTGATTATCTCATATTTTGTGTCTTCCCAGCTGTCAGTCAACGTTCACCACGGTGTGGACTAACCCCAAGCTCAGATAATAGTCATTGCTTCCCATTCAAACATCTGCAGTCCAGCTGCAGGTTCCCTGATAGTCTCATTTGCCTGGGATTGTCTCCAAGGTGCATGTTGGAGCCAAATGTGTTCTACTTGTCTTTCGTGGAAGATCGTACACATTATTCTCATGATGGTGGCAGAAAGGTAAAAGGAGCAAGCAGAAACAGGTGGTGCCACGTAGACCTAGACTTGGAATTGGCATTGTGTCACTTCTCTGCACATTTCATTTGTCAAAGCAAGTCACATGGCCACGCGTGGGGCAGGGTAACAAACTCCAGAGTATGTAGGAATGGGAAAGAGCGGACAACTGGGATACTGTGTTCTCTTTCTAGTCCCAGCAGCCATTATCTATGGGTTGGATGACCTGATACCCTAGGTAAGCCTGGACTTCACTTGTGGTTGCTTGCTGAGGAAATGACACGGGGGATATGCCTGACCTCTGACTACACAACGGAGAAGCAGAATCCATCTCCACATCTACATCTGCCCAAGAATGAGGCAGGGGTCAGACATGCCAGAGTCCGGCCACCAGAAGTACTCATGCTGCCAGGTTGTCCATCGTTTCTAAGTCTTCTCAACGTACAAAGCTAGGCCATTTGTTGTGTGTTTTTGGGTTTGGGGTGTGTGTGTGTGTAAGGTTGGTTGTTTTAAAAAGGATAAAATATTTTTAGCTTAACACTGATATTTCATTTCAAGATCTAGGTCCCCAGAATTTTGGGTTTTTTAAAAAATAATAGCTTTATTGAGGTATAGGAGCCCTTGTGGTGTAGTGGTTACCCGTTGGGATGTGATCCATGTGGTCGGCAGTTGAAAACCCTCAGCAGCTCCGAGGAAGAAAGACTGGGCTTTCTGCTCTTATAAACAGACAGTCTCAGAAACCCGGAGGCATCACTGTGAGTTAGCGTGGACTCGAGGGCAGTGATTGTGGAGATATAATCCATGTGGTATGCCGTTCATTTAAAACCGGCCAGTCGGGTTTTCAGTATGCTTGTGAGGGTTTGCAGCCATCATTACAGTAAATTTCAGTAATTGTCTTTATTTTTTTTTAATCATTTTATTTGGGGCTCATACAGTTCTTAACACAATCCATACATACATCCATTGTGTCAAGCGCATTTGTACATTTGTTGCCAGCATCATTCTCAAAACATTTGCTTTCTACTTGAGCCCTTGGTATCAGCTCCTCATTT